TGAGAAAAACCATTAATAATTATATGAAATCCTATTCGTATACTGGTTAGCACTAAAAAGCCGACTTTTATAACACTGACAGACTGTTGTTAAACAACCATTAGAAAATGATAGACAGCTGTTTCATCCTGGTGTGAGACTCCATGGCACTACTAATTTATCTCAATAGTTTAAGTGATATTCCTGTAGATTTAATGTCAAAGCTTTCAGAAAAGTACATTAACATAAATGAACGTCTAGGGGTCATCTCTTAAACTTAGAAAAAATGAATGGAAAACATGACATTCAACTCTTGATTAATACTAATAAAGTATGACTACCAGTATAACATTAAAATTTATATAAAAAAAACCATTAACTGACAATCAATTTTTTCCTAATCGACATATAAACCTACTTCAACTTTAAATATTCTCATATTTCAAAATTATTCGAAAAATCCATTTAAAATTTTACATTCATTAAAACATCAGATGATATTAGTGTAATAAAGTTTATCCATACCCTAACCTGGTGATTTAAAAAAAATTACCAAACGGAAATCTATTTAAACAAAAATTTCACACTATTTTAAAATTAAATCTAATTGAAAAAAATGTTGACATGCTTGTTTAGATAAAACATGAAGTTTATACTACTAATTTAATTATTCTACATGAATATTGTATTATTATGAATTGCATGAAAGTAAATAAATTCATATAGTTGAGATCACAAGTCAATTGACGGCCGTTTCTTCCTATTGTGAGACTACTCAGGAGTGCGCATCCGCAAATCCCGCCTGGCTGGATTCGAACCCAGGATCTACCAGTCTCGCACCAGAGCACTTAACCGATAGACCACTGAGCCGGCATCCAACGGTGTTATTGTCTAACCTCAACCATTCCACGAAATCGCGCGACCAACTTCCATTGTACTGAGGTAGATAACTGTCCCTACGACTTCTCACTAGAACTCCAGGAATTACCTCATGGAGCCTTTTTTCATATAAAAAACGAAATACGGATCGGTTGACATTTACAATATCACTCGTTATATAACAATAATGAGCGTAAAATTGTGCAATTATATTCCTTGATAAATATATAACAGATATTGATTATTAACATAAGATTAATGGTAAAGTTAAATAGATAAGGAAAGGAAAAATATTAGACAAAATAAACGATATATAAAATATTCTTTCATTACACAATTCTTAAACGACACTTTCACTCACAGATTTCCGTTCACTTGTTTCTCTTAAATTATATGAACTCTCCAAATTCTATCCAATTATTACGTAACCCATCCTAATTGTTTTTAATACCATGACTCCTTCATTACCTCTAAAATTAGCACGCATTTTATCTAATCTGTCTTTGAACTCCACTCAACTATAACACCACCCACCCTTTATGCTTCCTTGATTCTAACACCTAATAACCTCTGAACTTTTCTTGCACATAGTTATCATTGATAACCTTTTGTCATTTCAATCCTTTATATTCACTTATGTCAATTGTTCCACACTATTTATTACCCCAATGCTAAAATTCTAATACATATTTGGTTGTAAGCAGCTGATGAGAAACCACGAAATATAATGAATTTATACTATTCTGCATCAATATTTGTTTTGGCTTTATTTAAACTCATAAAGGGGACTAATTGCTTGAAATATTAACACTATATTGATTCCCAATATATTAACCAAATATAAAGTTGTAATAATTATGTGACTAGAAATTATGAATTGCTATTCATCGAGTTGTTAACTAGAAGTATCAATTAAAGAAATTCTGCAATAACAATGCGATCATGGCGTTGCTTCATACAAATTACAAAGATAAACATTATAACCCTAGGCTTTGAGTTCACACTGTTGAACATTTCACTTAGATATTTGGATATAACGACCAAATTGTCTACGAATAAATAATACTAAAGGCAAGATCCATGGCTTAAGGCTTACTAATGATTGATTTCAAATATCAAACAGGTCATTATGACATATATATATATAATTAGTACTTGATTGATTAAAATGAAACACGTTTTGAGTTGTTTATGAGGTTGTTAAATTTGTTTATAATAAATTATATGAACTGATAGTTCAAAATTTCTGAGCTCTAATAATGGATATACACTTCAGCTGTATATAATAAAACGTTACATAAATGTAATTTTTGAACAATTAATAAATGAAAACTCTCTTGGAGGATTTAACCATTTTGTAATAGTATCCAAGTGAAAGGGTGACTGGAATACTATTTACAAAGGATAAGATTACTGAGTTTTTAAACCTATGCTGAATATAGAACTATACCTACCATCTATATCTAGTTACTGCTTACTTCGAATGATAATGGTAGCTGGTGGTCAGATCAATACATGGTATCAACCTAAATATTTTCGTTAATTTTAGTAATCTGAAGAACTGTAGTAGTTATGTCTGAGGACTCTAAAATATTAATGTTTGGTAGCGGTGGTGACAAAGATAAATCCACATTGTGTCGTGTTTTAAGCTGAAATAATTGTAAATTAAATTGATATCATGAATGGATCAATGTTGGACTACCATTGAAAACCTGGAGACACTGGGCGGCTGATTCGTTCTAGCATGGGACTCCTTGCAACTGTGCATCCACGATCCCGCACGCGAACCCTTAACCTTTAGACCACTGAGCTGGCATGTAATGGTGTTGACGTTGAAGTTAGACATTAGCACTGTTGGACGCCAACTCAGTGGTCTAGTGGTTAGGCATTTGCGCGTGAGGCAGAAGGTCCTGGGTTCCAGTCCCGTGTGAGGGATCGTGGATGCGCACTGCTGAGGAGTTGCATGCTAGAATGGAACAGCCAACCGGTATTTCCAATGGTGGTCTAACACTGATCTATTCATGATATCAATCTAAACTGAACAACTTCCACAACCTTATACTGATAACTGTAGATTAATTCCTCACCATCTTTCTTGACAAACCTTATATTTGTATAGGAATCTTGTAGAGACTATGAGATTTTCATAGTTTAAATCATAAACTAATCTTAACTCCCTAATTTTAAATGGTGATTTAGCTAGCTATGATCAATTCGTGTTATAAAGTATGAAAACTCTTTATTTATAATTTTCTCTTCCTTTTAATAGATGTTTGCTATTCAGAAAAATGAAGTGAAATAGTTTATAGTAAATTAGGGTATTTATTCTATCCAAAATAGATATGACTTATTATCATTTTATTGATCGCAATTTTCAGACTTGTATTAAACTAATTACATTGTGAAAAAGTAGACAATAAAATTATTTCCAAAGTATTATGTAATTTTTTATTCTACCTATTATCATTTCAAATCTTATATGTGAATGGATACGTTGTTTAAGAATTATAAAACATGAACTCTATGGAATAAGTAGTGTCGATTCATAACCGATTCTAGACAGAGCATAGACCTCGAGATGAATTATTTTTGTCTTCTAACACAAATAGAAACATGATAATTATAATAATTGATCGCAGAATACTATTATTACCAATTCTACATGTTACATAATACACTACGCATAAATATACCTTCACAAACAAACATAAACTGCTTGATTTGATTGTGAAAACCGTTAGCAAGACAGAGGTAGCAGTGGATTTAGTATAGTGACAGTAATCAATCGATGAGTTATAAAACTATAGTGCTACAAACACTTTGTCTAGTATGTTTGAATGGTTACATACATAGACAGAACAGAACAAGAATAATATAAACCAATAAAACCCAAATTTATCAATATTTGCCGGACATTATTTATAATAAATTTGTAGAGGAAAAGAAAAGATAGATAAGGAAGTAATATCATCGGTATTAAAATGATAATGAGTTCATAAAAAGCATAGAAGTGCATACAGGCGCAGTTGGATTTGAAATTAATAAGGAAAAACACAAGCATACCAAAAATAACGACAATAGTACAGTATTGCCAGCAAACAAAGAGATGACTAGCACCTTTATAAAATTTAAAGAAAAATACAATTAAGAAACACGTTAGAAGAAACTTCAGAAAAAAAGTGGTGACAAAGGTAATCAACGTGTCGGTATATTAGGTGGAAAAACAGAATAAAAATGAAGTATACAACATCTGGTTTAGGGGAAAAATATTTCTGTTCAAAGTACAATGTTTTGTTTTTCTAAATAAAGAAAAGAACATTAGCAACAATGTTAAACAGGACAGAATAATAATAATAATTTCCCCCAAAAGACTACAAATGTGTGATTGAACGCAATAAATGAAAATCTGAACAAAGTGAACATCATCTAAGTGACTGATAGCAAGAGATAAAATGATAACCAGATTATTAGAAGAATTATATTTTAAAAACCAAAAACAAATTAATAGGCAACAAAACTTCAACAATACATAAAAAATGGGAGATTTCTCTGTGTGTATCTAATCTTATTGGATTATTTACATTATATAAACAATTCACAAGTATATATAAAGAGAAAAGGACTAACGCAGTAATTTGATAATCACTAAGATGAAATTTTAAAAAAAATACTACGAAGATAAATCGGAAACAGAAATTCATTTTTATTAACTTCTATTTGATTCTATATGTCAAATTGATTGTTATACAACTAAAATTATAAACGAAAGAAAAGAAAACTTACTATTGTTCAATTAATAATTAAAAGAGAAAAATAAACATGCTATCATAATACATTATTATTCTTTGGGTGTGTGTGTGTGTTTATATCCAGATGATATAATAAGAATGATTTAATTCTATGCATTTATATCATTATAAAAGGTGACAATTATTCATTTATTGTCTGTTATTTGATTATACCCTCTATGTGGTTGATCTGCTGATGATGAAGAAAAAGAAGGATGCTGTACATTATAGTAGATACATTCGACATGTTGCTTGATGAATGTCACATATATATGAAGAATACAGATATATGAAAAGAGGAGGAAAAGAACTAATCATCACAAATCCTCTTTTACTCCAATAAAATGAATTATTTCATTTTAATTGTAAATAGCTAGTGAGATATATAAGAAAAAAAAAGAAGAAAAATAAGATGGTTAACAAAACAACAATAACAACAAAAATATGGTAAGGATAATGAAAATTTATGATTGAGTGAAAAATACATCTATTTTATTGAGAGCATGATTCACATTGTTTGCGCCAGATCAGCTATATATGATAAAATATAATAAAGTAGTTGATTTGAGCACATACGTAGAAATGCTTTGTTTCATATGAAAAGGCCTTTTAAGTAGAGTTGGATAACGATCAAGAGTAAAGAATAGGACAGGCGTTTCGCCCTATTTGGGACTCGACAGATATATGTACCTGCAGCTGTGTTGATATTCATGGCAGGACTCAGAACCCAATACCTTTGGCTTCAAACACACAATGAGTTAACTACTTGACTATTTAATCTAGATAGCCACTGCCTTGAGTAACACGATGTACGTATCTCTGCAAACACAGATCAATTTTAGTTCATAACATCAACGGAAAGACTCGAACAAGCAATACGAATGAATGAAATGAATAACAGTTTATAAAATGAAATATAAGTTTGATTACAGTCGGATGTTATTAAAACTTTTTGTAATTTTACATCAAGAACTGATCTTAGTTAAAGAACGACTGAAAAATACGAAGCACTAGCTAGTTGTTTCAATGTAGGATCGAACTCTTTAATAGTCCTCACCCACGACAACCATTTTTTTTTACCTATTTCGAGAAATTTAAGCCAGATAGAACCATTTTATTGAAACTGAATAGATTAATGAAAACCAAAAATCAGAATCAAACTGGTCAATTATTAGATTTCCCATGAGTGAAATCAATAAGTATCAAAATGGGATATGAACAGTTTTTCGGGAAAACTATGACCTAATAAAAACGTCCAATGTACTTACTTTGGACTGATGAGGTTTTATGAATAAAGCAGAACCGCACCTAATGTAGCATAATATTTCCAGTTGGTTAGTCATGAATGGTAGTTTTGTAAAAATAACTTTGAATTTTGATTGTTTGGAGTGCATGTCATACAGATTAGATGCGACGCAGATCATTCGTATGTTATCAAAAGGAATGATATCATTTGCGTACTGTAGGTTGAAAATTTTTCCTCGAGAAGTATATCCACACTACCATCATAAACTTTGAAAATGCTTCTAGAATGCTAGGGAGAGCGCAACTGAAGAGGAGTGGCAAGACTAAGCAACACTGCTACAGCCTACTCCTAAATCAGGAAGATAAGAAGGCGTAGCATGTTCTTAGTCACGCCAGTTTTTTCACACCTGTTAGGCATATGTTTCTTCAACCGACAATGTCAAAGCTCATATCTATACAAGGCATCGAAGTTACCTCTGATATCAAGGAACATAAATATTGCAGACCTGAAATAAATTTGACAGCGTTCAAAACTTTGGAAGGGAATACAAGATCAACGTAGCGAAAAACATGATGACAAACTGACTTGCTCCAAAAGTAACAGCTTCTAACAAGTTTTGCACAATCCGAGGAGTAAAAAATTATTTCTAAGCAACAGAGAGCAGTTTTATGTCTGAATAACTATCTTTACTGAATAGAACAATGTTTTCGCTATCTTGAAATATTTCTTGGTGTATAAAATATGTTATTAAAAAAGAGTAACATAGCTCAAATAATCGAGCACAACAATGAATTGTCACTTTTTATTGCCATAAAATGAGAAAATCAACATAAACCAAAGTTGGTGATTTAGATCAGATTGAAAAATACTATACGTAGATAGTGCAATTTCAAACATCGTAAGACAACTAAGAATACAATTCTTTCTACATGGCTCAATCCAATCACAAATGACTTCAAAGACTGGTGCCATGTCCTGGTTTGGCTATCTCTAGCTTTCTTCCAGTCTACTTCGAAAACAGACGAATTGCCCGTCGAGGTGGGCGATGGTTGAGGATATGAAACACATGTCCCGACTCCTCAGTCAGTGAACACGAACTATATCATCAACAAAATCGTCACATTTACCTAGTATCCTATGCTTAAATTCAATGCTACTAAATCGGTGGTCCCAACATACAGAACCAATGATTTGAAAGCATCTGTGATTAGACAATGGTAACCTATGAATATCCTTTGATCTTAAAGATTGTATTTCACAGCGTAAATACAGACTAGGACGAACATCTGATGTGATCAGAAGACGCTGAAATTTGTTAGCACTTTTAACTTTCAGGTTGTTCATACACTGGATGGAAAATTTATTAGATACTTGAAAAGGGAATTAGAATGTTAGAGGCCCTGTTGGCCAGAGAACAGGACAGCAGAACCAAAGGGATAACTTCGTGGTACCAGTCAAACAGAATCTTCTGTGGGAAGTTCTGGATATATTAGCAACGAAATTTGAAAGGCTTTACCACCGGCAACAGAAATCCATGTGGCAAGGTGTAGTATTTTTAGGGTTGATCTTTTATAAGCCTTCCTTTTTTTAAGCTAGAGATGAATAGTTGTCCATAGTTCTGACGGAGTGTACAAAACCGTAAACCTGAATGACAATCATGATATTTGGATCTTAAGCATTAATTGTTTCTCTATGAAACAGATGTAAATGAACAGCGTCGACATTTTAATCTAATGAAAATCTACTCATTAAATATTTTAATTTCAAATTATTGAACAGTCTGTTCTTTTGTTTCTAACATCTTTTTTTCTAAAAAAAACTTCAACTAAAAACAATCCAGCCATGAGATGTATGAATGTAAAATATTCATTTCAATAAATTCTTATCAGGTTCCACAGTTATACATTGAAATTAATGATCCAAAAAGGATAGTAAGATTTATAGAAAATAATTTGTTTACAATTATACAATATGAAATGATTGGTGTACTAGTGTTAACTTGAATTGTATTGTGTAATTATTAATTAAAAGATAAACGCGTATACAACCTTGTTTTTGTACTGCTTTTTTCATAAATCAAAATTATTTTTATTCGAATACATATATACGATCATCATTGTTATTAATCATTTAAACACGTGAATAATTCGATTAGTAACTAACCCCAAAGGTTTTATTACTTTGTCACTGAATTTATATCACTTAATACACCAGATAGTAGTCGAGGTAACATTTGATCAGATTTGTGATTACATAATGATTTATCATTGATTATTATCCGCATAGATTTAACCCACATTCACATTTAACACTGATCAGATTAATAATAATAAAATTTTATAAAATGTATTTGACTTAAACTAGATCATTCTCGTGAAAAATAGATATGTATTAAATTGGATTTAAAACCATAGGAACAGAGGAGAATTTATTGCAAGGAATATTCTTTATTCATATATCTATTTTATAAACATGAGAGATTAATTTATACATAAAACTGATTCTTCTGTGATTTCATATTATGTTGACTGTATTTACTTTAAATCATATCAATAAACTACTGTCCTGACCGTATATATCTAGTTCTTAATTATTAGTCAAACTTCGAATATCTGAGTTTATTTGGTCTTCAATAGTTTAATCCTAATGATTCTCATTGTATTGTATCTAGATGACCAGTGTAGAATTACATTAAGTGTCCTAATTGGAGATTGAAAACTGAGTCTCATTCATTACAACAAAAAGTCTTTAATTCACATGATTTTTAAACAAAATTTATCTATATTTAACTTAATACACGCTATGTTTGAAGAGATTACGATATCATCGAAACCGGTAAACGGAACGAAAGTCAGCAATATAACAATAGAACAAGCTAAGCTAGTCCACTGAGCCCCAACTCTACTAACTAGATGAAATAGACAAAATTCAGCGGGAAGCACGAACGAACAAACACACAACTCATGCGTGTATATACAGTACAAAAATGCTTTTGGGAAACGTCATGAAATAGCGTATATCTGGGGACCTAGCACCCCCAACAATACATTAAAACGTATAGCAATGGGTAAAACAATTGCTAGAAAACTGAGTTGAAAACTTATTGTAAACTAACTGTTTGTCTCGCATAAAGTACAATAATGAGATAGGAGAATACTAATTGTAAGTTTGGCTTTGACGAGATTGTTTAATTGCATTGAAATCATGTACAACCACTGAAAACTTGGAAGCACTGGACGGTCATTTCATCTTAGTATGAAACTCCTCGGTAATGTCCATCCACGACCCCACACGCGGGGCTCGAACTCACGACGGTGAATTTCACATGCGAACTGCTAACCTTAAGACCACTGAACCGGAATCAAAAAGTGTTAATGTCTAATGTTAATTAATCCACAGCAATCTCCACAACTCTACACGGGAACTTATAATGTACTAATTTGTGAGGTTTCCGGAGTTCTAGTGAGAGGTTGTGACCAATGAAGTTCAACTGTGTCAGATGCGAAACAGTTAACCACCGAAGACAATTAAAGGTGGTTGCACAATATTTTAAATTGACTGGAATTAGACAGTAACACCTTTGAATGACGACTCAGAGGTCTAGATGCTATATGTTTGCGCGTAAGACAGAAGGTCCTAGGTTCAAGTCTTGAGTGAGGGACTGTGGATGTGCGCTGCTGAGGAGTCCTATATTAAGATGAAATGGTCGTCCATTGTTTCCAGGTTTTTAGAGGTGACCTAACTTAAATCAATTTATGATTCCAATGAAATACTGTTGTTGATTTCGCTTCAGTTTAAAAAAGAATGTGTTCATATATTCACAGTATGTGTAGACATTACATATACATAATAGGAATATGTTAGCATAAAACATTTTTTGATATGCAACTAAAAAAGTCCCAGAGTCGAGATGAATATTTGTTTTTCAAACAAGAAAATGAAAACAGTCATTCAAAATAATTAACAAAACGCAAATGATATTATTTCCGCCTTAGTTCTACTAAGTTTAATTATTGCTAGTTTGGTTACTAGAAAATGATTGATATCATCATCTAGGGAAAAATTGAGTTATAAATAATTATTTCTGTTTAGTTTACGGTACATCCAGCTTTGCAATGTACTTGATA